CCTCACGTGTAGCATGACAGCTGGCATGAAGTAGCACTGACATGTTTGACATCTTGGTTTGCTGTTTGCTGGACTCTACTAGATGACTTTCCAATTCTAGACACAATGGGCACCAGGCGAGACACAGGCTGTAACAGCAGTGGTCAAAGTGCAAGTGGCGCTCTGACGCAGACATGCCACAGTCGCTAAAGCCTGGAGGTCTGACATTGGGCAAGGATCAAAACTAGATATCTGAAGCTGGAGATTACAATGAAGACACAAGAATGAGCCTCATGATGTGTGTAAACACACATGGTGTGTAGTAAGAGCTACGGAGCTAAGGACAAACTGATGGTTTGTCAACTCCTGGTGCTGGAGCATGGGTGGGTTCCAGCAGTGGACTATGAGAAAGGACAGTCTAAGAAGTAAGTAGTGAGCAAGAAAGAAGCAAGCTCAGGACAGAGTCAAGTTCAAGGAGGATAGAGTAGAAACATGGGTCAATACTTTAACAACAGGGCAACAACTTGAGAGGGCCCACAATTGTATAGGACTCTCAGAGGACAGAGTGACACCTTTTCTTCAAAAAGTTTCTATTTTCAACACTTGGTTGATAATTAAACCCAAGGGGGCTAGGAGCTATAGGAACCAAACTCCAGGAGGACTGTTATAAACTTCATTAAACATCACTGGGGAAAATATATTCCAATTTGAACTTCCTTGCTTTTCTTTATAAACAGCATTTCAGGGATAGGAAAGAAAGGTTTGTCTACGCCAGGCTACTCTGTGTAACTGAGGAACTCTGAATCTTTTGCCCCCACTAGTTGATGCAGCCTGGCCTTCTCATGGGCCACTGAGGCAGCATTCCCAAGGAAAATCCTAGTAGTGAAGAAAATTATCTAGTGTTCGCTTCGGCAACACATATACTAAAATTGGAACGATACAGAGAAGATTAGCATGGCCCCTGCGCAAGGATGACACGCAAATTCGTGAAGCGTTCCATATTTTTATGTCAGGAAAATGAACCCTTAGATGTGTATTTTAATGTTTTTTTCTTTCATGCATGTGTTTCTAACACATTTATAAGATTATCTCTTTGTTGCTTTGTATGTCCCTCCCCCACAGTATAACCCTTGCTTTCACTATATTTGATGTCAGTATAACTTGTGGAGGAGATGGGGAAAAACCAGTTGTTTAAGGATACAGGTGGACCTGTTGCAACAATGAGAAGTACAAGTTGTCATGTCCAAAACGAACTTTACAATGTTGGTGGGGGGGGGGGGGGCTGGGGGGAGGGAGGAAGGAGAAGGATTGGGATTAGGGGGGGAGGGGGGAGGCTGGGAAGGGATGTGAAGGATAAACAAAGGAGGAGGCTGCAATGCTTGGTAAGAAATGTACACATTATCCTGCCCATGTAACTGTAACTCCTCTGTACAGTATGTTCACAAATAAAATAAAATTAAATTAAAAAAAAAAAATAAATAAAAAAAAAAAAAAAAAAGAAAATTATCTATCACTAGCCTCCTGAGCCATTAAAGGGGCACATGGCCAAGTCAAGATGTCTTGGGATAGAAGCCTTGATTCACTGCAGTCATTATAATGGCTATTATGAACTCTTATTTATTTGTATTTTCATTTATTAAAATAGTCCTTTCTGAGACATCAACTATCAACATTGACAAGTAAAATATGTATCTTACTTCTGGAAGAGTATCCATTCTTCCATTTGTGCATCCATCCACCTATCTTACCCCTTTCTCCATCCACCCACCCAAATCTTTTGTTTTGTTTTGTTTCTGGTGGCACTGAAGTTTAAACTTAGGGTTTTATACTTTCTAAGTTGCCCTTTACCACTGAGCCACACCTCAAGGACTTCTCGTTCTTGTTATTTTTGAGATACGATCCTTCTTTGCCCAGGCCAACCTGGATGGCTAGCCTCCTAGTTATGCTTTTCATAGTAATCGAGGTGACAGGAACGAACCATCACACCCACTGGTTGAGAAGAGGTCTTGAGAACTGTCTTACCTGGTGTTTCAAACCATGATCCTCTTAATCGCACCCTCCTGAGTAACAGGAGTGATAGGTGTGAGCTTCTGCACCTGGCTGAATCATTGGGGGAGGTGGGAGAGGGGTGCAGCAGAACCAGAGCTTGAATTCAGGACCTTGCCTTGCTCGGTTGGTAGTCTACAACTTGAGCCATGTTTCCAGCCTGGGTTTTTACTAGTTGTTTTGAAGATGGAGTCTCATGGACTTTCCTGGATCTCAGCATCCTGAGTAGCTAGAATGACAGGCATGAGTCACAGCACCCATCTTCCAAATCATTCTTTTTTTTTTTTTGGGTCCGGTTGTGGGGCGTGAACTCTGGGCCTGGGCGCTGTCCCTCAGCTCTTCAGCTCAAGGCTAGCGCTCTACCACTTGAGCCACAGCGCCACTTCCGGCTTTTTTTCTTTTTGCTTATGTGGTGCTGAGGAATCGAACCCAGGGTCTCAGGCATGCAAGGCAAGCACTCTACCACTGAGCCACCTTCCCAGCCCTTCCAAATCATTCTTAAGGCCCAGGATCTACAAAGATGAATAAGACTAGATCACCACTGCCATCATGGAGTACGTAAAAAATGGACCAAAAACTGCAAAATGAGGCAGGGATAAGGGTATTTCCTGAAATAATTTTCTAAGTAAAGCTGGGATTTGCTCAGGAAGCACTCTGGCACTTCCTCAGCATGCTAATGCTCCCTGACATTATTGCTTGCTGATAAATGTCAAAGGGGATAGTGATATTTTTGGAGCTGATTTTTTTTACCCCATTACAAAAATAGATCACGAACACATACACATATGTCACAGGAAGAACTTAGGCTAATATTTCAATACAGGGACAAACATTAGCACATTTTTAAAGCTCATACTTATATTTCTGTTGACAGTTACAATCATCTATTTGCAGGCACTACTTCTTTATGATACCTAACCAAAATCGACTGGTATTACAGTATACCAGTAGATTTGGAGTGTGTATGAGAATAATCCAAGAGTTTCCAAAGGAGGCTGCTGATTCAATATTTTCATAAGCATCAAGCTAACTTAAGGCAATACATGATGACCCCTGACACAAAGATATATTGGAAGTCAAATGCACAACCCTTCTTTTTAGGACATTTGTCTAACTCGGTATTTAGTTATAATTTACACTAGTGTATTTTTGAGAGAAGATATAGGAACCAAGTTTAAATGGACCAGAGTTGACTGTGGACTCTGCCTTGTATAGTAAAGCCCCCCAAAAGCCACAGCTGAAGGCACCCTGTGGCCATCCCAGCAGGAGTGGAATCTTTTATTAGAGGTGTGGCCAGGTCAGGAGGAGGAAACTCAACTTTCCTCACCTTCCTGACCATCCTGGGAGAGAAGCTCTTCTCCCCTGCACTCCCTTGTGGAATCCCAATTAATCAGAGTAAAAAAAGGAAGCAAATTGTGATTTCTCGCCCTCCTCACTGTTTGATTCGCAATCTGGATTTATTGCTGAAGGAATGCCTCCTTGAAGCACCATCCCCTACTGTCCAGAGAGATCAAAGCCATAAAGGGAAAGGAAGTCCTTCCATCCTCTCTGCATGTGAGTCCAGCTGCCAAGGGAGGCTGGTGTGTGCTCACTGAGCTGCACCTATCCCCTGAACTGGGCTAATGCCCAAGATGCAAGCTGCAGCCCTCACAGACAGAGCTAGGTTTAATAACTGCGGAGCCACTGCACACACACACTCTGACACTAGGGAAGACACTGTGTTGTTTTAAAGCAAATATATGTTCTTAAAGTGCTTTTTAAAGCAATAAAATGTTGCCTTCTTCCCAACCCCATCACCTACCACAACTGTTAAGAGTAACCAGTTTAACTTAGAACAGGGTGATTCTATCACAATTCCACATACTATTCTGTCCATATAACAGGATGAAAATTAGCAGCACATATAGAAGACATGTCATTTTCTCAGATATGGAGCAATATTAGGAGCAAACAACATTTATCTCCATGACTATAAACAAAGGTGTCGTGTTTGCAAAACAGATCCTGTATGTAAAACATCTACGAATAGGGTAAAATATGGGGAGGGTGTTATTGGTTGAAATGAAGTGAAATACTTCCGGCCTTATGATCTTTGTAAGAAGTGTTTTCTCCTCTTCTAAGCTACAATTCAGAATTCTCATTCCAATTATCTCCTGTCTCCAAGCTGAGACCTGACTCCACTCCTCCTCAGTGGCCTGGACCTCCAAGGAGTCCAGGCCTGATTTCTTCACTTGTAAGTCAGATGCCCCAGGAACATTTCTCTGAGGAAATTAATAGGAATAATCTTTTTAAAAAGAGGCCTTAAGGTCAAACAAGCTTCTAAATTTAAGATGTGTAGTGTGTTAGTAATACTCATTGTGATTCTCTAAAAGGAAGACAGAACATGCATTGGTTCCCTAATAGCCTTTTCCTTGTGGAGTTTCTTGGAGACAATCCAACAAGAGTTGTAAGACCCTCATCTGTGCCACCTGATGGTTGGATTTTATGCCACTCTTCCTTTATTCTAATTTTCCCCTGTAACATTTTTATTTTTAGTGTTTTTTAAACTCAAAGTTGGAATACTACAATACTTAATAGTACAACAATAATAGTACAAAACGTGAATTCAATTGTTAACCTACTCCAATCACGTCATGCTTCCCTTTCCTCTCTATGTGGGTGTGCATGCACATGCATATACAGTTGCATAACATGCATGCACACTGTATATACTGCATGGTATGTGTGCATACTATATACTCTCTACAGGTTGATTGTGAACACTATATACCACCTACAGGTGTGCATACTTACTGTCTGCATAATAAACGTGTGTGTGCGCGCACAGACTTATCCCCTATATGGGCGTTTGTGCTCAGTATGTTCGTCAATTGAAAACCACTGACTTACTGGGAAATACGTCTGGGAACGGCCTGCATGACGGTCCTATTTGGCTAAACAGCTCGGTTCTTGTCTCAACTGTGGTTGCACCAGTTATGTCCGCTGTGAAGCTAAAACGCTGTGACAGAACAGCAACCCGGAGCGTTAAGAGCACGGAGCAGCAAGTCCTCACCACAAAGATCCCATTCAACCTCTCCTCAAAGGTAAAGGTTGAGCTTACCCAGCTGCCACAAGGGAGCAATCCCATCTGTCTGGCGGGATTTCGGGTAACGCTGTGAGTTCTCCACAGTCCTTCCCGCAGGTGTCCTCCAGCCATGGCCCGCTCCCCCCACCCCCGTGACCCCCGCTGTCCCCCCTTCGTGTCCTCCCCGCTGTCCCCCCGTGTCCTCCCCGCTGTCCCCCGTGTCCCCCGCTGTCCCCCCGTGTCCTCCCCGCTGTCCCCCCCGTGTCCCCTGCTGTCCCCCGTGTCCTCCCGTGTCCTCCCCGCTGTCCCCCTTGTCCCCTGTGTCCCCCGCTGTCCCCCGTGTCCTCCCCGCTGTCCCCCGCTGTCCCCCATGTCCTCCCCGCTGTCCCCCCGTGTCCCCTGCTGTCCCCCGTGTCCTCCCGTGTCCTCCCCGCTGTCCCCCTTGTCCCCTGTGTCCCCCGTGTCCTCCCCGCTGTCCCCCGCTGTCCCCCGCGTCCTCCCCGCTGTCCCCCGCGTCCTCCCCGCTGTCCCCCGTGTCCCCCGTGTCCTCCCCGCTGTCCCCCGCGTCCTCCCCGCTGTCCCCCGTGTCCCCCGTGTCCTCCCCGCTGTCCCCCGTGTCCTCCCCGCTGTCCCCCGCGTCCCCCCGGTGTGAGGCGCCCCGGGGCGGGCACGGCTGCGGCTGCTTCCCTCCCACCCCGCGGCTGGACGCCGGGCTGGGCCCCACGGCCTCTGCTCCTCTCCCGGCCCCACGGGTGCTTCGCGGCCCAGCGGGCCCCGGTGTCCGGGCCGGGCCGTCCTCCCGCCGAGCGGCGACCCCTCACCTGCAGACGGGGCGTCGCCCCGGGCCGCCGACCCCTCGAGCGGCCTCCTCACGGGCCGCCGCCCCACGCCGCCTCCCCACGCCGCCGCCCCACGCCGCCCCACGCCGTCACACGTCACACGCCGCCTCCCCACGCCGCCTCCCCACGCCGCCCCACGCCGCCGCCCCACGCCGTCACACGCCGCCTCCCCACGCCGTCACACGTCACACGCCGCCTCCCCACGCCGCCCCACGCCGCCCCACGCCGCCGCCCCACGCCGTCACACGCCGCCCCACGCCGTCACACGCCGCCTCCCCACGCCGTCACACGCCGCCGCCCCACGCCGCCGCCCCACGCCGCCCCACGCCGCCGCCCCACGCCGCCTCCCCACGCCGTCACACGCCGCCTCCCCACGCCGCCCCACGCCGCCTCCCCACGCCGTCACACGCCGCCTCCCCACGCCGTCACACGCCGCCTCCCCACGCCGTCACACGCCGCCTCCCCACGCCGTCACACGCCGCCTCCCCACGCCGTCACACGCCGCCTCCCCACGCCGCCTCCCCACGCCGTCACACGCCGCCTCCCCACGCCGTCACACGCCGCCTCCCCACGCCGCCCCACGCCGCCTCCCCACGCCGTCACACGCCGCCTCCCCACGCCGCCTCCCCACGCCGTCACACGCCGCCTCCCCACGCCGTCACACGCCGCCTCCCCACGCCGCCTCCCCACGCCGTCACACGCCGCCTCCCCACGCCGCCTCCCCACGCCGCCTCCCCACGCCGTCACACGCCGCCTCCCCACGCCGCCTCCCCACGCCGTCACACGCCGCCTCCCCACGCCGCCTCCCCACGCCGCCTCCCCACGCCGCCCCACGCCGCCTCCCCACGCCGTCACACGCCGCCTCCCCACGCCGCCCCACGCCGCCTCCCCACGCCGCCTCCCCACGCCGCCTCCCCACGCCGCCTCCCCACGCCGTCACACGCCGCCTCCCCACGCCGTCACACGCCGCCTCCCCACGCCGTCACACGCCGCCTCCCCACGCCGTCACACGCCGCCTCCCCTCGCCGTCTCCTCACGTCCCGGGCCGTCGCCCCACGCCCTCTCGCCGTCTCCTCACGTCCGGGCCGTCGCCCCACGCCGCCATTCCCCACGCCCTCCAGGTGGGCGCGCCGGCCCCGTGGTCGCGGACGTGGCGCGGCGCTGAGCGCTGGCCCGTGCGCGGGGCAGGCCTGTGAGGACTGTCCGAGAGGCCGGCGGGGAAGGCGGCGCGACGGAGAAGCGGGGCTCGGGCGTGAGCTCCACGGCGAGCACCGGCCTGCTCCCCGGCCCGACGTGCCGCTGACCCCGCCTGCTCCCCGGCCCGACGTGCCGCTGACCCCGCCTGCTCCCCGGCCCGACGTGCCGCTGACCCCGCCCCCCCGACGTGCCGCTGACCCCGCCTGCTCCCCGGCCCGACGTGCCGCTGACCCCGCCCCCCCGACGTGCCGCTGACCCCGCCTGCTCCCCGGCCCGACGTGCCGCTGACCCCGCCTGCTCCCCGGCCCGACGTGCCGCTGACCCCGCCTGCTCCCCGGCCCGACGTGCCGCTGACCCCGCCCGCCCCGACGTGCCGCTGACCCCGCCTGCTCCCCGGACCGACGTGCCGCTGACCCCGCCCCCCGACGTGCCGCTGACCCCGCCTGCTCCCCGGCCCGACGTGCCGCTGACCCCGCCCCCCGACGTGCCGCTGACCCCGCCCGCCCCCGCCCGCCCCCGCGTGGCCCGGGCCGCTGACCCCGCCCGCCCCCGCCCGCCCCCGCCCGCCCCCGCGTGGCCCGGGCCGCTGACCCCGCCCGCCCCCGCCCCCCCCCCCCCGCGTGGCCCGGGCCGCTGAGGCGCCGCTGCGGGTCTGGCCGGTTGGCTTTTCCCTCGGGCCGCGCCGCGCCGGCCTGCAGCCCCAGAGAGGGCCGAGGGAGGGGCACAGGCCCACAGCCCTGCGGAGCCCGGCCCCGCCGCGGGCGATAAGAAAACCCGGATCGGCCCCGGCAGCAGCGGAGGCCGTCCGTCCGCACGGACAGACCGAGCTCGCGGCCGCCTCCTGCGTGGGGGAGCGAGTTCCGAAGCCCCGGCCCGCAGCGGCGCTGGACGGCTGGACGCGTGGTGACCTCACACTTGGTAGACGGGCGAGGAGGAGTCGCGTGGCACCGGCACCGCGCCCCGCGCCCCCAGGCCCCGCGCCCGGAGCCCCGCGCCCCCAGGCCCCGCGCCCCGCGCCCCCAGGCCCCGCGCCCGGAGCCCCCAGGCCCCGCGCCCCCAGGCCCCGCGCCCCCAGGCCCCGCGCCCTGAGCCCCCAGGCCCCGCGCCCCCAGGCCCCGCGCCCCCAGGCCCCGCGCCCCCAGGCCCCGCGCCCTGAGCCCCCAGGCCCCGCGCCCCCAGGCCCCGCGCCCCCAGGCCCCGCGCCCCCAGGCCCCGCGCCCTGAGCCTCGCGCCCCCAGGCCCCGCGCCCCGCGCCCCCAGGCCCCGCGCCCCCAGGCCCCGCGCCCTGAGCCCCGCGCCCCCAGGCCCCGCGCCCGGAGCCCCCAGGCCCCGCGCCCCCAGGCCCCACGCCCCCAGGCCCCGCGCCCCCAGGCCCCGCGCCCTGAGCCCCGCGCCCCCAGGCCCCGCGCCCCGCGCCCCCAGGCCCCGCGCCCTGAGCCCCCAGGCCCCACGCCCCCAGGCCCCGCGCCCCCAGGCCCCGCGCCCCCAGGCCCCGCGCCCCGCGCCCCCAGGCCCCGCGCCCTGAGCCCCGCGCCCCCAGGCCCCGCGCCCCCAGGCCCCGAGCCCCGCGCCCTGAGCCCCACGCCCCCAGGCCCCGAGCCCCGCGCCCCCAGGCCCCGCGCCCCCAGGCCCCGCGCCCCCAGGCCCCGCGCCCCCAGGCCCCGAGCCCCGCGCCCCCAGGCCCCGCGCCCCCAGGCCCCGCGCCCTGAGCCCCGTGCCCCCAGGCCCCGCGCCCCGCGCCCCCAGGCCCCGCGCCCTGCGCCCCGCGCCCCCAGGCCCCGCGCCCCCAGGCCCCGCGCCCTGCGCCCCGCGCCCCCAGGCCCCGCGCCCTGCGCCCCGCGCCCCCAGGCCCCGCGCCCTGCGCCCCGCGCCCCCAGGCCCCGCGCCCTGAGCCCCGCGCCCCCAGGCCCCGCGCCCCCAGGCCCCGCGCCCTGCGCCCCGCGCCCCCAGGCCCCGCGCCCTGCGCCCCGCGCCCCCAGGCCCCGCGCCCTGAGCCCCGCGCCCTGAGCTCCCAGGCCCCGCGCTCCCAGGCCCCGCGCCCTGAGCCCCCAGGCCCCGCGCCCCCAGGCCCCGAGCCCCGCGCCCTGAGCCCCCAGGCCCCGCGCCCCCAGGCCCCGCGCCCCGTCACCCGTGCCCCCGCGCCCCGCAGGCCCCGCGCCCGTCACCCGTGCCCCCGCGCCCCGCGCCCGTCACCCGTGCCCCCGCGCCCCGCAGGCCCCGCGCCCGTCACCCGCGCCCCCCGCGCCCCGCGCCCCCCAGGCCCCGCGCCCGTCACCCGTGCCCCCCGCGCCCCGCGCCCCCCCAGGCCCCGCGCCCCGCAGGCGGCGGTGGGGCAGCAGCTCCCCCCTGCCGCACACAGTGAGCCTTGGAGCAGCCCCGCGCCACACTGAGTTCTGTGCGGGCTGCCTTTCCACGCGCAGGGCCACCTTGGCGCCTGCCTTCACTCTGCACACACAGCGGCCATTTTCTGCGTGGGGACCACGACTCTGACACGAGGCTCTGCGGGACCAGCGTTACGCGCATCGGGTTTTTATCGTCTCACGTATTTGAAAATTCATTCTCAAGGAATGAAAATTGTGATGTTTTTGTGGCTCTTTGAGGATATAAGCAACATTCTGCCTTATTGACAAAAGAATCATAATTCCTTTTGCATGAGAAATCAAAGCCAGATTGAGGAAATTCCAGCATGACCAAAACAACGCTGTATGTTATCTTGCAAATCAGTCGCAAAGAGAAATTAGCCCCCAGTGCAGCATGACTGGTGGTGGAGAAGGAACTGTGTGGAGTGGAAATTCTGATTTCACGCTCTGGACCACTCATCCTTCAATAGCTCGGCTAACAGTAATGATGGTGGCGGTGATTCTTAAAAGGAATCAGATGCTTGCGTAGTTCCAGCACATGCGTTGATGCCTGCCTGGAGAGACAGGTACACCATTAGGTAGGTGAGAGGCTAGACTCAGAACGCTGCCTGAAAGATTTCCACTGTAAAGGTGATGGCTTCATGTGTTACCGTGTGCCATGGTGCCTGGCCTTGCTGAACCCAGATTGAGCAGTCCATGTAACCAGGAGGCACGGCTCTCCTTGTGCTGATGAAGATCTGTGGGGTGAAAGACTTCAGGGAACTTCCCCGGAGTCACGTTGATAAGAAAGGGAAGACCAGTGCACAGTCTCCAGACTGTCAGACTCAATTCACCTAACACGTATCAATTTAAAACCACAAAATCTGTGTAGAAAAACCACTTGCCAAAGAGACAGGCAGGCTTTTTTTTTAAATCCTCTATATCATATTTTCTGGCCCAACTCCTCCCAAAGCCCTCTTCTCAGTTTCTATCTCTTAGGAGGAAACCAACCCACCAGAGTAATGGAGGGAACCACACAAGGGCGATACGCTAAACTGCCTGAAAGATTACTCATGGAAAAAATGATATTTTATTTTGATATGAGAAAAATCTCTCCTCAAAACACAGAGGAAGTGTTCTGATTTCACGTACATCTTCTGGGATCCTGCTGGCGATCTCGGGGTGTGGGAGAGGTCTCTGGTTGGGGGACAAGCTGGAGCTTCCAGCTCCAGCCCAGTAGGCCTCCTGAATGAGGGGTAGAAGTGACAGAGCAAACACAGCTGTTCTGCTGGTGACAGATCCCAGAGAAGCTTCCGGAGAGACTTCATCCAGGCCTGCGGTCCTGGGTGCCAGCACTGCTCACTCATTCCCACTTTCAGCAAAAATTCTTCAGGGCCGCAAGCGCAGCAGGAAGCCTGTCATTACCACCACACAGGGTCACGTCAGCCGCTCTCAGCAGCCCTGCTCCACCATCTAGCTCAGCTGTTTACCTCATCTGGGAGAGCTTTGATTGTCAGAAAATAGAATGTGTCGTAAACACACTCGAGCTCTCCAGCACACAAACAAACAGTGATCATGAACAGAGGTAAGTGTGTTTGCATTATTTAACCAAACCCGACGAAGCATACAAATAACCTGCATAGAATGCAGCACAGAGAAACTTGCTTTAAGCTGACTTCCACATGGCAGCCATTGCTCACTCCCTTCAGTCTCTGGCAGTCTGTGAGGTCTAGATGGCCTTGTTCACCTCGTGCCATGGAGCCTTTGAACAGCAGCCAAGAGGTTGGGTGAGAACCTAGAGGCCTGCCACACTGCCCAGCACCCTCATCACACCCGGGAAGCAGTGCTAGGCTCTGCCTTTGTTCCCTCTTCTTCCCTTTTGTCTCCTGGGGAATATTAATGGACACGCAGAAAGGACACAAAGAATTGAACCTTATCAGTCCTGGCTCAGACATGTTGCTTCACTCACCTCCTAGACCACGGTCTGCTTGCCAGCCTCTTTGGTGCTCAAGGCACTTTGGGGAAAGATTTGACCACTTATTTACATGGGAGCCAAGTGAGGCAACAGGTGTGTCATGGGAAGCTCAGACGTGGCAGCTGGCACCAGGCAGGCCCACGCCGTCAGGCAGGCACGCACCAGCCATGCACACACGCACACATCAAGAAGGCACTGAGAAGAAGACTAGACAAACTCGGCAGGGCCGCAGCTGGCGCACAGGGAGTCGCAGAGCAAGGCTCACAATGCCAGGGGAAGGGTGGAGGCCTCCCATCAACAGAAACTGTTGCAGCCAACAAGAGACCTGAAGGAACTAAGTCTGGTTGTTTCCACAGCTTGAGAAAATCTTAGAGTAGAAGCAATCACTGATCTAATTCTGGACAAAGTTTTAATTTTTTTGTCAGAAGACTCCATGTCCATGCCTCCTTGCTTCTGTACAGGTTGCTCACATTCCAGATTTCTTTAATTCTTCTGGTGATGTGAGAATGGATCACTTGAGATATTCATGGTAAGGCAAAGAGAGTTGATCTTTGTTTCTCTTCACCCTTGACAGGAGCATAAATGAGATAAGAATCTTAACCCCCACCCAACCACATAGGCAGCACCATGTTGCTTGAAGTGTTCAGACTTGGCAATCACTGAGGGTTGATTGGGCAAGAGTCGGTAATAAAAAATGGACCAACGTTCATGAGCAAGTGCAAAGGAAATAGAAACCTTAGCGATTTTGCACAGACACTGGTAATGATAAAGGAGGAACCCTAACACACAAGCAGTGAGAATGTAAATTAGTTCAGGCACTATGGAAATCAGTGTGGAGCTTCCTCAAGAAACTAAAAGTAGAACTACCAAATCATCCTGCCATTCCAATCTCCAGTCTCAGGCATGTATCTCTAAAAGAAGGTAAACCAACACTCCCGAGA